AACAGCTGATCAGCTGTTTGTCGGCTCAGCGCAGCAGCCATGTAAATGTAAATGAAGCCGCGATCATTTAAATCGCGGCTTCATTTGCCTTTGCTGATCTGTCTAATCTACATGCCTCTGCCGACAGAGGCATGTAGACTAGACATAGCCTTACTGTAGTATTCAGAATGCCTGCTTTAGAACACTTTAATCACTGTTACTCTCTTTCTTATTGGAAGAACTAGATTTGGTCCTTTGCAAAGCTAGAAATGCTAGAAATTGAAATAGGGGGAAAGCACAGGAGGGTTTGAATTCAGATTTCCCCCCTTCCGTTTCTTTAAAAAAAAAAAAAGGCTTTGTTTGCATAATTACAGTTTGCAGCTGTTAGAGCTATTACTTCCTAATGTGGGCTGTGCTTTGGGGCATGATTTGATCCACTGAAAATGGACAAGAAGACTCGGAGCTTTGATATCAGCTGCTTCTTATTAATTGCGGTTGCTGGGTACATATCGCTAAGCTTTGTCAGACCACCCCAATGAGCCTCAGCTTAAGGTTCCTGTAATCGTCATTAGCTTAGCAGACTGTGCAAACTATCTGTGTTTCTGTGCATGTGGGAATTGCAGATTCCACAGACACAGGCCGTATGCGTTTGATTCAACCCCCTCTTCTTGGACTGGTGAATGTGATTGGGGGCATCTGAGATGGGGAAGGTTTGAGACAGGAAGTTCTGCACTGGGAAAAGGAGAGGAAACCAGGAGTTCTGTATCTGGAGTGGGGGAGAAGTCTGTCCTGCAAAGGAGCACAGTGATTGTCCACCCTACCCATCCTCCTTTCCAGCTGTCAACATTAAGAAGCACTCTGATTTAAAAATCACTCCTTTTCCATCCTCTCTCTGTCCTCATCTAGGTTTCCTTTGGATGATCCTGGACCTCACCTGCCATAGGGGATGCCCCAGTTTACCTTTGCTTGCTTCTGCGGACTCCATGGCTTCTGCAAGACGAAGAGGAAAAAGGAAGAGCCCAGTGCAGGGCAGGAGACATCTGTATGAGACTTCCCTGGGTGTCTCATTCACATCGCTGGATCCCAGCCCTGGTTGGAACTTGGTACGACTCTTTTTGTCCTTTGAGGTGCCACTTCAGCAAGGAATCAGTCCCATTTCTGCTCTCTGATCTCTAACCATGGAGAGGTCCCAGGCTTATTTTGTTCCTCTGCTGTGCTGGGGTGGGCGTGTGTGGTGGCCTGGGCAGGAAGAGCAGCATGCTCATTTTAACTCCTAAAGGCAAAACTGAGTTTCCTATGCTTGGCTGTCAATAGTTAGCCTCCCACCCCCAGGGCTGTGCAGAAAAAAGGGTTGCTGTCCTGTGAGAACTTTTGAGATTTCAAAATTTTTGTGCGTCCAATGAAAAATCAAAATCTCAAAATTTCCACTAACTTAAAAACTGGAGTGGGGAAATCAGTTCAGAATGATTGGAACATTTCTTTTCCATTTGGAGTCTTTCCCTCTTAGCATTTGCAACATAATTATATCTAAATTTACTAAAATTTCTGAACAAAAAGTCATTTTCTTTCCAAAACCTGAAGTTTTTTTTCCAACCATTTTTGAGTGAGATTAGTTGAAATGGATCCAGTTTCCTGAGAAAGGTGGGCAAGATAATATCTTTTATTGGACTCACATCTGTTGCTGAGAGAGACCCACTTTTGAGCATACACAAAGTTCTTCATGAACAGTTTTGCTTTGGACAAATCGGCTTTTTTCAACAACCAAAAAAGTTTTGCTGAGAAATTCTTGACCAGCTCTGTGACATTTACTAGGAGACTGAGGATCTTGCTTACCTGCTAGTGTGTGGTCCATATAAGAGGCTTATTAATCTATTCCTGCTCCAAATGACTTAGACCAGTAGCCTAAGTGATTTAAGCTTGTGCTTTGTGTATTGAAGGTCTTGGGTTCCAAAATGCTTCATTGCTCAAAGTGCAGTCAGTTATATACGAGTGTTGAAAACACTTTGGTATACTGAGAGTGCTGAAAGCCACTGAACCAAATAGTAAACCTCCATCCCCAACACCCATAGATTCAGCACAACACCTGTTGTGCCTGAATAAATTCAGTTTCCTCCTCTCTTTCCTGTATAATCATAGAATCATAGAACTGGAAGGAACCTTGAGAGGTATCCAATCCCCTGCACTCCTGGCAGGACCATGCACTCTGTAGATTATAGTGGCTACAACTATAGTGAACTAACCACATTACTCTGAAAATGTAATTTATCATTCAAGTCAACAAACCACACTCAACCGGCCAAATAGCCACATGTGTTGGACATCATGGCTCTAGACCATCCCTGACAGTTGTCTAACCTGCCCTTAAAGTTTTCCAGGGATGGAGATTTCACCCCCGCCCTAGACAATTTATTCCAGTGTTTAACCACCCTGACAGTCAGGAAATTTTTCCTAATGTCCAACCTAAACCTCCCTTGTTGCAGTTTAAGCCCATTGCTTCTTGTCCTATCCTCAGAAGTTAAGGAGAATAATTTTTCTCCCTCCTCCTTGTAACAGTCTTTTAGGTACTTGAAAGCTGCTGTCCTGTCCCCTCTCAATCTTTTTTCTCCTTCTTCTTTCCTAGAGACTTGACTGGCTTGGAAGAAAAGCTGATGCTCAGAAATGACCTTGCAGAAGAGCCACAAAGAGGCATTATCCTGAGTGCTATGGTGTCTCAGCACTGATCCCCGGTCTCAAAGGTGCTTGGCCTTGGGCCCCACAGCTAGAGTTTGTCCCTTTGCCGGGAAAAGTTTTGTTCATGAGAAATCTGTCCTAGTCTTGTTCAAATATGCCTCCATGGGCACACTGAAGGAGATTTCGAAACCAAGAGCCAAGTCCTGCTCTCTGTTTCTCTGGAGGGAGGGGGCAGCAGGATTTGTCTCTGTATTCTTAGGTTGTCTCACTTTTACACTGTCAAATGAAAATGAACAACTTGTAGAGTTGTTTTAGTATCCCCAAGCTAGCACCTGTATCTAAAAGAAGCAGTTCCTAACACCACTGAGACATTTTGTGCTCTGATGCACTAGATGCATGCAGGCAGGGGACTGGACTTGAAGACCTCTCGAGGTCCCTTCCAGTCCTAGTATTCTATGATTCTATGCCAGCCTGGAGAAACCCTTGCGAAGTGAGGCAAACAAACTGAGCTTTGATCCTGTTCTCTTTTGCACTGGTGCATATCTGGAGTGATTCCACAGAAGTCAATGATGGGAGAGAAGACTCATGCCTTTTATGTGTCCGTATGAACGATGGGAAGTTAATTTTGCAGTTGGCACCTTTTCCATAATGGACTTAACTCAAAATCCCTGAACTCTGTGTGGAGGGGAGTTTGGAAGTGGAGCCTAGATCTCAGTTTGTAGCTCAGGTCCCTGACAGGCATGTACGCACCGTCCAGTGGTTCTCTCCCTGTCCCATAATGGGCGCCCTCTTCCAGTTTAGCAATCTGGGAAAGGCAGAGTGGACACGACCCTCTGGCACCTGTTCCTGTACGTGGTGCGGGCCACAACTCCCCATTATAAGCGCTCATGGACTCAAAGAAATTGATGCAGCTGACAGTCTGGAAAATGCCAGTGTTCAAATCGTTAACCTTTTTCCTGGCACTGCCCAGGTATAGCAGTTAGTGTTAGTGTAGCTGCAGCTTCAAAGATTGTCCCTGTTTTCTCCCTGCCTGTCTGTACGTCTTTCCTGCCTGTTGTTTAAGCCATAGGGAAACTTCCTGGGTGCTGTGCCTTTCAGGAGGCGTTGCAGACAGACTCTCCTCTTCCGCAGCGGGGCTGGAACAATTTGTATCGTGGGGGTGTTGAAAACCATTTCACCAAACTGTAAATCCTGTATGTAATGGAAACCACTTCTAGGCAGAGGATGCGGCAGCACCCCCACACCCCTAGTTCCAGCATCTATGCTCTCCAAGTACCTTAAATAACCCCAGCAGCTGTCCTTGTGGGTCTCAGAAAGTATAGCTATTTCTTAGCCTGTTCCAAAGAGCACGGAAGTCCGTAGAAACTCTCCCTTTGATTTCAATGTGTTTGGCTCAGGCCCTCAGTTATCACTCAGGAAGGTCTTCATGTGGCAATGTTGGAGATGGATTGAAGCCAGTCCCTGGCTCTGATCACCCCCAGGTGTATGACACTGGAAATCCAGACCCAAATTTAGCCGCTTAGACCCAGCTCTGGTAAACTCAGGCAGCCTCAGTCCCTTCCCTCCTGAATCCTTTGCTGCCACCTGCAAAATGTGCGGCCCGTGAGGCTACTAGAAGTTTGTGCTTAAGATGTTGGTGACAGGGAGGATGGTCACAAAGTATCTCGAGCCCTTTCAGTCAGAATCAAGAGCAGCAGCTGCTGCTTTCAAGAACAGATGGCAAGGCCTGAGCTGGGTGCATGACCGAGTCAGAAAGACAGGCTGTCCACAAGACAGGATGTGAAGGTCACCATGGAGAGCAGGGGAGGGGTTCAAAATGGCTGCCGCAAGCAGGGCTGTTTCAGCCAGTTCTAGGGTTGCCAGATGGTTTCAGCAAAAATACGGAACACACTTGACATGACATCCCAATCTACGTTACATCTTATTTAGAAAATACCGGACATTTCTATTTTCTCACTTTGTTTCCCGAACAGAAAGCTCAAATACTGGACTGTCCAGTTCAAAACCAGACACCTGGCAACCTTAGCCAAGGGTATGTCTAGACTACATGCCTCTGCCGACAAAGGCATGTAAATTAGACATCCCGACATAGTCAGTGAAGCGGGGATTTAAATATCCCCTGCTTCATTAGAATAAAAATAGCTGCCGCGTTGTGCAGGGTCAGCTGTTTGTCAGCACAAAGCGGCAGTCAAGACGGGGATCGGTCGACAAGGAAAGCTTTTGCCGATCGATCCTGTAAACCTCGTTTCACGAGGCAAAAGGGATCAGTCGGCAAAGGCTTTCCTTGTCAGCTGATCCCCATCTTGACTGCCGGTTCGTGCCGACAAACAGCTGAGCCGGCACAACGCAACAGCCATTTTTATTCTAATGCAGCAGGGGCTATTTAAATCCTCGCTTCATTGACTATGTCGGTATGTCTAATTTACATGCCTCTGTCGGCAGAGGCATGTAGTCTAGACATACCCCAGTACTTCAAAGCTGGCAGCTGTAGGGAGCCCTCAGGAACTCCTCATCCTGCCCCCAATCATCTCTGAATGAAAATACCAGAAGCTCTTTGCTTAGAGTTAAATGGTGTGGAATAGAAATTGCTTTGTACTGAGGGACCACCTGGCCCTCTAGGGAATTGGGGTGTCTCCCCTTTAATATGCCCCTGGCTGGGGTAAATTCCTCCTCCTGTGTAACAGAAAACTTCCGTTCACTTGCTCCTCTAACTCCCCCAACAGACCCATTGCACCAGTTCTGGATACATCTCCTAAGGCCGCATCTCCACATGGACTGGAACCCAGCCCTCAGCATGGGTCGGGGCAGAGGGCGGATTGTGGGAGAAGGTGATGCACTAGATCTGATGGATGGGGTTTGGGGATGAGGGCCAACTGACTGACATTTCATGAGACCATCAATAAGCCTTCATTCTGGGGACAATGTTATTAATAGTAAAAAACAAATAGTAACTGGGGCAAACCCACCATTTCTATTTAAAGACCAAACATGGAGATTTGGGTCACAGAGTGCCATATGGCAGTGGGGCCAGAGATGTTTTGTGCTGTAACTCTGATGCAAAATGTTGCCCAGTAGCATCTCTGAGGAATGTTGTTTGCTGCTCCTTTCTAGGAAAGGCAGATGGGTAAATCTTTAAGGGACAAATCTGTGGCTGGTGTAAATCAGAAAAGACTCATTGACTTTCAGTGGAGCTATGCAGATTTACACCAACTGAGCATCTGGCCCCAGAGAAAAATAAACTGATCTAACTCAGAAAACAAATCCTTTCCCTCGCTTATAAAACTCACTGACCTTTCCAGTGCTCAGACTGCTGCTGCGAGACCGGATTTACGCTTGACAAACAGAGCTGTGTATGCTGGTGACAAGCTCTCCTTTTGGGAAGATTTGCTACCTTGGCCAGCTACCAAAACCAATGTGGCCATTATTTTATTGTTTATCCAAAGCGTGAAACCTCTGTCCAATAAGGATGACCAATAAAAAGAGACACATGAGATCATCTCCTAGGGTATAAGAAGAGCAACAAACTAAGCAGCTTTAAATAATCTTTATTGAGTGCCAGTAGCAGGGTTGCTCTAGGAGATGGTCGAGTCACTTCAAACATGTGGCCAAAGGACATTCAAAGAGAGGAAACAGCTGGTAGCAGACCATAGGGAAGAGTCAAACTGAACCTGATCTTGCTCAGTGAATCACCCTAAAAAGTTCATCTACTGAGAATATATTTCCCCCATGGAGCATGAAGAAAATACTTATACAAGGTGCTGTCTGGTTCATGCACCTGAAGGATCAAGCATAGGGAAAGGACCCATCACTGAAAGCATTGGGGGTATGTCTACACTACCCTGCTAGTTCGAACTAGCGGGGGTAATGTAGTCATCCGCACTTGCAAATGAAGCCCGGGATTTGAATTTCCCGGGCTTCATTTGCATGAAGCCGGCCGGTGCCATTTTTAAATGCCGGCTAGTTCGGACTCCGTGCCGCGCGGCTACACGTGGCACGGACTACAGCTAGTTTGGATTAGAAGCCTAATCCGAACTAGCTAGTCCGTGCCACGTGTAGCCGCGCGGCACGGAGTCCGAACTAGCCGGCAATTGGCGCCCTAGGTGAAACGCACGATCGGCGCACAATTGGCGCCGTCGCCTCCAAAGCCCTCAACGGCTGTTTATCTTGGCACCCTAGGCGACCGCCTAGTTCACCTGTATTGACAGGCTGCCACTGCATGCTAGTCTATGTCAGCAGAAACAACAAGGAATCCTGGGGCACTTTAAAGACTAACAAATGTGTTAGTTCACCAATGAGCACCCTATCGTGCAAGTTGGCAGCAACGGTAGGAAACAAACATGATTTTTAAAGCAAACTAACTCCAGCCTTATTCTGGGTTAGGATAGACCTGTTGCAGTTCCCACAGATGTTATCAGGAGCCCAACATGCATATCCAAAGGTAGGAGACAGCTGGGAAGCTCTGCACTGAGCAAAATAGGGAGGGAGTTGGTTTGACTTCTCACCATTCATTTTCGTCAAGCTCGTCACTTTATACTCAGCTGATTCTGTAACACATTAAGCAGTAATAGCTCTCCATGGGACCCAGAGGCTGTCTTTATTGGCCTTCAGCTTGGCTACATCTAGACTGGCATGATTTTCTGGAAATGCTTTTAATGTAAAAGTTTTCCGTTAAAAGCATTTTCGGAAAAGAGTGTCTAGATTGGCACGGACACTTTTCTGCAAAAGCACTTTTTGCGGAAAAGCATCCGTGCCAATCTAGATGCACTTTTCCGCAAAAAAGCCCCGATCGCCATTTTCGCGATCGGGGCTTTTTTGCGGAAAACAAATCTCAGCTATCTACACTGGCCCTTTTGCGCAAAACTTTTGCGCAAAAGGGACTTTTGCCCAAATGGGAGCAGCATAGTATTTCCGCAAGAAGCACTGATTTCTTACAGTAGAACGTCAGTGCTTTTGCGGAAATTCAAGCAGCCAGTGTAGACAGCTGGCAAGTTTTTCCGGAAAAGTGGCTGATTTTCCGGAAAAATTGGCCAGTCTAGACACAGCCCTTATGTAGAGCATATGGCAGAGACCTGTACATTTGGTGCTGATGGGCACAACAAATTCAATCCCTGTTGAGGGCCAGTGTCTGTGTGGGTACAGATCCCATTCATCCCAGCTATAAGCTAGAGCAGCTATTCTGGCGGCAGGAATTTGTTCCAGCTGAAGTTGGCCCAAGTCTCTGAGAGCTTTCCAGAGGCAGGATATGTGTAGATGATCACAGGCTGTTTCCTTTTTAGCAATATTAGAATATTAACATTCTAGAAAATTTAGAATATTAACCTAGAAAATATTAATATTAATCTAGAAATCTAGAATAGCAATATTTTCTCCAGTGCAGTTACTTTTAAATTGTTTTCTGGGAGGTGAATCGTTTCATGGAGGATACCGCTGCGGAGACTGGGCTGGCATGAGCCTTTGATTAGGGAGTCATCATGGCTTAATCTTTGAGGTTCCAAAATAAATAGATACACTCAGACTTGGTAAAGAGTTCGCAGCTTTGTAATTGTATCCAGGTTTATACAGTACCAGTTAAATACTCCCAAAATGGGTTTATGTAAAAACTGGTATGGGTGCTTCACAGCTTTTCACTCTATTGCGGTTGCTTCATACACAGGTCTGGAAGGAGGGGGGGAGTGTCTTTCCAGGGCAAAATGGTAATCTATTGACTGTATATTATAGCCTACCATATGGCTGCTCAGTTTCTCTTGCATCTAAATTTCTCTAGTCTCCTGCAAAGAGCTTCCTAGCTAGGCACTGATGAATCTACTAATGTGTGTGTGTGTGTATGTGTGTATATATATATATATATATCTATATATATATATATATATATATATAGAGAGAGAGAGATAGAGAGAGATAGAGTGGACACATCACTTTTATTTATATTCCCCCCAATTGCTTCTAACATGTTTCCTTCTTATAAGAGTTAAGACAATAGTAATAAAAAGCATTAGAGAAAATATAAACAGTAATAAAAAAATAGAAAAAAAATTAAAAATACTCCCAATCCAAAAATGACCTAGATCTCATCTCACTCCTCTACTTCCTGCCCCTCTCTCTAAGAAACAGGTGTATGCACATGTTCTGAAAGTTTCCCATCAGACCCTAGATTTGGTAAGTGATGAAAAGTGAATTCTAAAATCAAGAAGTCAACTCTGAGAAAATCCTGCTTTGCACATCCTTGTATATTAAATAGAAGGCTGTTAATTTGGGTATCTGAGACAGTATGCATAGGGAGAGAAACAATATCTGAAACAGCCAATAAAAACTCATTTTGTGGTTTACAAGAAAAAAAATACCACCTTAAAGCTTCTTCTAAAATTCACCTAGATTTGTGTATAATTATTTGCAGGATCAACTTGAATATCAATGTATTTATTTAAAGACCTTAAAGTCGAAAACCCCCTCATTTGATATAAGCAAACATAACGAGAATTCCTAAAATCAAGTGAGATTACTTTTCTTCACATATAACTGAATCACCACATAATTTCCATTAATTAGTGTATGGAAGTTAGACATAATTAATTGGAGACTAAACCTCAATATGTTCTAGAACAGAAGTCTTGTACATAGATGTAAGTGTAAAATGTCAGTGTAAAATATTGTTTATACTGCTTTTGGGGATCTGTAAAGGCACCCTGAAAGATTTTCTTACTTCCTTGTTCCAGACCTGAATCCACCATGCCACACACCCTCATTTCTTAGATTATAGATCTGTGGTATCCAACCAGTTCTGAAGTAATAGCCACAGTAGCAGCTACTGCTATAGCTAACTAGCCACACTCAACTAACCAAATAGCCACAGGGTATAGATGCTAAAGAAATTCTTAGATGGCTCTAATGTACAAGTCATTCTTTTAAGAACTCTTAATTCACAGC